GAGCGCCTCGCTGAGCGATGAAATCGCTTAACGAGGGGCTCTGGGCCATCACTGGAGCATTCGCTCAGCGATGGCCCCTATGGCGTTTTTTTTGCTTTGCGATATTCGCTAAGCAATTCGCTTAGCGAATATCGCATAACGAAGCAGGGGCGAACAGCTGATCGGCAGTTCCAAAATGGCCGCCGGAAGGTCCGCGCCGCATTTTCGCGCCCTGCCCTCGCTTACCGAGGGCGCGAAAATGGCGGCGCTATGGAGGAACATCGCTTAACGGTGAGTTTTAAAGCCATCAGAACGCATTGAACAAAGTTCAATGCGTTTCTATGGCTTTTTAAATTCCATTTAGCGATGTTTCGCTATAGCGAAGGTTAATCCGGAACGGATTAACCTCGCTATGCGAGGCACCACTGTACAACAAAAAATGTTGGTAAATCCATCTCTCACAAAACTGATTTGCCTGGAATAATCTTAGACTCCACCCCCTCTGAGCAGGATTCATCCTCCTCTGTGCACCCACAGCAATCATTTTCAGCCCATTTGATTCTGGTCATGACGGAACCCCACAGGGGGAGGCAGAGTTGTGTACATGCAGGGGCAAGAGAGAGGGGGGGTACAGCCCCGCCCAGTGGGGCTGAATATTAGAGGGAACGTTGATCTTAGATGCAGAGCTGGAAGGGACCCCACTGACCATTGAGTCCAGCCCCTGTCAAGGAGGCACAGTGAAAAACAGAACTCCCAAACTCTGGCTCTGCAGCTGGATGCCTAAACCACTGAGCTACATCAACCACAGTGACAGATAATCCCTTCTCCTTAGCACAATACACCCACAACAATACACACTAATCACCCATCTACAGAAAAAGACAAAAGCCTATCTCACAGCCATAAATACTGCATTCCCAAGCCAACTACACCAGAGAACAGAGTGCTGTCCTCGGAAGATGCCGGCCACAGAGACTGGCGAAACGTTAGGAAGAACAACCTTCAGAACACAGCCAAAGAGCCTGAAAAACCCACAACTAGCACTGTAATGACATATTGCTAAACTGTCAGCACTGCATTGGTTGTTAATTTGTTTTTAATCAGAAGCACAGAACACATTTGCACCTTTTTTGAGGTGTGTGTGTAAACCCATGTTTCCAAAACTTGTAGTTTATATTATGCACTGAGACACACTGTGCAGGAACCTGGTGTGAAAGGGAATGTAAGGAACAGAGAGAACAAGTTGGTGACGTTGGCAGAGGAAAAGGATGGATACGGCTGGGGAAGGGGAAGGCTAAAGAAATGCTCCTGGTATCACTGCATTGGTTGTTAATTTGTTTTTAATCAGAAGCACAGAACACATTTGCACCTTTTTTGAGGTGTGTGTGTAAACCTATGCGAGGCACCACTGTAGTTTATATTATGCACTGAGACACAATGTGCAGGAACCTGGTGTGAAAGGGAATGTAAGGGACAGAGAGAAAAAGTTGGTGACGTTGGCAGAGGAAAAGGATGGATACGGCTGGGGAAGGGGAAGGCTAAAGAAATGCTCCTGGTATCATCCACTGTGCGGATGACAGAAACAGCATCCTGAGCTCAAAGAAACATGGACACATGAATCAAGAACTGGCATACTCTGGTTACGCTGTACAGGGAATGTGAATTGATGTGGAACAATCACCACGTCTGCTCACCCCCTAAGAGTGATAGGAAAGTGAGAAAAGGATAGAGGAAGCAGCAGCCCAGGAAGAGGAAAGAAACAGTGTTGGGATAAAGTGGGCAAAGGAGTTTCTAGTTCACCTGGTACAAGTAGAACAAATATTGGTCTTCACAGAAAGCAGTGAGGAAGGATGGATAAAAACCAATGTGTTCTTTTAATTATTAAAATAACAATGTAAGTTAATAAATCAATGTTTTATTTAAATTGTCAAAAAAATCTAAATTTTAAATTTTGATTTAAATGGATTTAATTTCTCAGAAGAAATGAGTTAGGGGCAGTGAGGAGGAGCACCACAATAGGACTAAAAAGTTTCTAATTAGTTGACACTGGATACTTTTGCTAGTTCAAAATAAATACAGTGGGGTCTTGACTTGAGAACTTAATCCGTATTGGAAGGCAGTTCTCGTCAAAAAGTTCTCAGGTCAAATCTGCATTTCCCATAGGAATGCATTGAAAACCATTTGATCCATATCTGCTCTTTTCCGTCCATAGAAACTAATGGGAAGCTGCTATTCCGCCTTTGACCACTAGAGGGGGATATTTTGTTTCTTTTTTTCTTAGGTCAAGAAAGGTTCAGGGAAGGCAGGGAAAATACAGTCCAGGCAGTCTGAAGACTGTCTCCCAATCCACTCTCTAAACGCTGGGAGGAGTGAGGAAGCAGACAGGCACCCTTTTCACTGGCCAACAGTTAACTGAAAGTTCACATTTTGCACTTTCCCTGCCTCCCACGTAGGTTTTTTTAGTTTGTAACTCAAATCTAAGTACTTAAGTCAGTCAATATTTTCCTATGAGAGCAGTTCTTAAGTCAAAATGTTCTTAACTCGAGCCGTTCTTAAGTCAAGACCCCACTGTAATACATGTTTTAGCCACACAGCACTTCTCTCTTTCTCTTTAGTTAATTGTTAATTGTTCTTGTTTCAATACAGCTGCCTGTGATAGCATATGCTCCAACTGTCTGTTTTGTATTCCTTGTTGCTGGTAAATGCTGTCCTGATTTTGACCCTTTGATGCCTCTGTTAGAATGCTGTTGGGGTAAGTAGCTATGTGTGCCATTTTAAGCTATGCTTGAGGGCTGTACAGTAAAAATGTCCAAGATACCAACCCTCCACACATTTCCAAGGAAGGAAAGGCATGGAAGGTTGGCATATTGGACATTTTAGTCAGGGGCTTCCCAGCCTTCTCTGCAAATACTAAAGTTTGGTCTTGAAATTTCTGCTTGCAATGCATGTTTCTTTATTCTTTACCTGACTTATTGCTTTGTTTTAATAAAAATGCAGGCTCATAGGATCACAGGGATGTGGAAACTGGATATATCATGTTTAGGAAGGCAGTGAGACCCTTAGTCCAGGATTACCAATTTTGACTGGCAGTTGCTTTCTTGGCTTGCTTAAGGCAGAATTCTTCCCTGACTGGTAATTGTCCCTGAAACTACAAGTAGTGGTCTACCCAAGCTTAATTTCTGAAATCAGACAAAGTCTCGACACTCAGGGTAATAGGAAAGCACAGTAATAGCATATAAACAATTGTGCTTTTTAAACACACCTGATAGTGTATTCATTGGTTAGATTGCGAGTTCTCTGGGACAGAGCTATTAACGTGTTGTTGGTTTAAATGTCGGGCCCATGGGATAAGGGAGGATATAAATAACATCTAATTGGGAGGTGGTAGAAAATACAGTAAACTAATATAAGTATGCATCAAACAGTCAGAGATGTGCTTGTGCGCCTGCCCTCCCACTATTCTCACGGGTAACAGAAGCGAGATGTTAAAAAGGTGTCCCTACTTTTCTTGTTTAACGCTGGAGGGTGTATGTATGAGAGGGATAGGACTATTACATGCTATTTAGGTGGATGGAGAACAGTTCAAAAGGCCGAAAGAAGGCTTTGCTGCCAGATGAAGAAGCTGGGAAAGGCTTCAACCTCCTTCCCCCCCCTCTCAAGAGTCCTTCAGTAGCGCCTTCAAGAGAAGGCGGGAAGAATTTGTCTTCAGGACAGAGAACAAGGAAGTTTAGACAGAGACTGGGCGAAACCACCCAAGCTCGAAGCCAGGCCTCCCATTGATGCATGTGGGAGATTACAGCCGAACAAGGGGCAGCCCGGCATGTGGGAATTCCTTTTATTTTCAAACACGGGGTTTCAGCACTCCGACCTCGCGCCCAGCCTCCACTTCTTCCAATTCCTCTGCAGTACGTCCTTTGCCTCAAAAAAACAAACATCACGTTTAGTTCAGGAAACGTTTGATGACCGCAAAAGTGGGGAGATTTAAAAAAAAATATCCCCAGCTCAGCTCTATATGGCTGTAAGCAGCAGCGGAGGCGAGAGCTGCACTGAACTTAGGGGTCTCCAGGTTCACCGCCGTTACACTTTTCGAAAAGCCCTGCCTTGGCGAGCGACGAGGAATGGCGGAGGCGGCAAAATCCGCCTATGTTCGTGCGTGTGTGCAAACAGTTTGCAAAGTATGGAAGTGGGAAGCAAAATTTCAGCGGGCAGAATCGCCGGGCGTCTTTTTCCTTCATGGCTGGGGCCATACATGACATGTTGCCTAAGACAAGCTATCGCTCTTCTCGGAAGGGAAGTCCCCAGGCCTTAAGAAGGAAAAGCCCACACAATGTTGCTTTGCGGCATGTGTATGCGCTCCAAACCCACTTCTGCTCGCATGAACATATTGGGTGGTCTTTTGCAACCTCTCCACCCCGCCGCGCGCTCTTCTCTCGACCTGTTTCCTTCTGTTTTCATATGCACACGTTTGTCACCGCGCGGCAGTTGCTCGTCCAGTCGGGGGGGCTAAAAGTCGCGCTGGTTTGCTTCGTACCTCAAACGTGCTCTAGATTTTCTCCACTTATTTCTACGTTTCCGGGCCTCCCCCCACCCACCTTCCCCCCAAAAGAGCTTCCTTAGGGCGCGAGGAAATCCGTGAAAGGCTTCTAAGTCGATCCGTCCAACCGAGAAGATAAAAGCAAAATGAATGACAAGCCACCGGAATAGATGGATTTTAAAAGCCGGTTTGCCGCCCTTTTCTGCCTGCTCAACCCTCCCACCGTGGACCACCCACCCACACGCCCAGCAGCAGCGTCTCCTCTGGAAGCCTCAAAAATCTCGCCAAAAAGCAAGGAGATGCGGGTCGGCCGCAGTTTGGGACCGGCAGCATGAAGCCGCCTTGCAAGGCTCGCGAGGAGGAGGAGGAGGAGGAGGAGGAGGAAGTGGCGGCAAAGCTGCCTTGAAGGAAAACGTTTTTTTTCCCCTCCCTCCGTCCTTGTTTCTTTTCCCCCCCTTTTCTTGAATGAACGACGAGGTGGGGCTACAGAAAAGCTGCCCTATTTGCCGAGGCTGGAGCGTGAGAAGCTCCCCTCCGCTTGTCTCCTCCCCCTGCTGCTGCGGCGGCGGCTGCCTCGAGTATGCTTCCCCTACCCCGCCGACCTCTCCAACAGCCGCCGCCTCCGGAGCCGCCGCGCCGGACGCAGCCCGTCCAATCTGCGGCCCGCGCTGGAGAAGGAGGAGGCGCCTCGTGACTTGGGAAGCTTTGCAGGGCTGTCCGGGATAGCGAGGGAAGGGCACCGAGTAGGGAGCGAGGGTGGTCCGGTCAATTAATTCCTCAGACACGCCCCATCCCCTCCCCCTCCCTTGCCTCGAGAAATATCCCTTAAAAAAAAAAACCAACCAACAAACAAATGCAAAGCTGCTTTTTGGGATGCTTTAACCCCCTCCTCCCATTCCCGGATTTGAACGGTTAGGGAGAGAAAAATCAGTCCAGATTTTTTTTCCTTTTGAGAAAGATATGTGGGAGATAATGAGCTCAAGATCCGACTCTGAATGAGAAACTGCCTTCATGTGGAAATCTACTGCACTGGAGCAAAGCACTAATTAAAGAGCCTGGATTTTAAGTACTCATTTCTCTGATGCCTTGAACATCGCCCCCCCCCCTTCTTCTACGTCTCTCTTTCGGGTTGTGCTCCTTCCTGAAGTTCAGAGGTAGGATTTCTGAGTTTTGACATATCTTTGGAAAGGGAATTTAGAGAAGAATCTTGGAAATATTTTGGAAGTCATAACAGTTCAACAATATCTGAAGATCAACCCCCTCATTTCTGGTTTGGAATTAAAGTTTTGTTTTGTTTTTTTGTTTTTTTAAAGACGTTTAATCTTTTAGAGGACTCTGGGAGGTTTGATTCTGAATTTTTTCCTTTAAGGAAACTTGACAGAAAAGCGTAGTTCTTATTCAAGTAAGTATTTTCCACAGGAAATTTACTTTGTCTAACCTTTCTTTATTGAAAAGAAGGAGGGCGGTTGATTGAGTATTTTAGTGGTGAACATGTAAATTTGCATCAGAAGCTGCCCTGTTTAGTAGATCATTTTGAGTGGCAGGGTTTTTTGGCATGTGTGGGTAGCAGCTTCATTGAAATTCTAGTTCAGCATATGGGAGGGAGGAAAATGCACCTGATTTTGAGTAAGAATCTGATTTTCCTATTTTAGATGTATTTCAGTACAGATGAAGGAACGTTTCTGCAAATAAATTTCATAATAAATATTACATGTGGGATACAGTGTTGGCTGCATTTTAAATCCGGTTTCCATCGTGGATCACCAACTAAGGAGGAAACGCTGGGAATACAGAAATACCTTTGAGACCCCGAGGACTCCCACACTCCTCAACCAATGGAACCGCATAGAATAAGACAACTGGATTAAATATAAACCCTGGCACTTGTTATTACTGGCTGCTTTCTGAGTGGGTGGGGGACATTTCATTTGCTCTTATTTTTTTTTTCTTGTTCTCTCTACTCATTGTTATCAATGATGGCTCATCCTGGGATAAGAGGTTACGATAACAGGGAGATAGTGCTGAGGTACATCCATTACAAACTGTCACAGAAAGGATATGACTGGGTTGCCAGTGGAGACCAAGAAAACGTTCCTTCTCCTGCTGCTGCTGCTCCTGCTGTTGCTGGTGGTGGGACCTTCCCTGCCCTTGCAGGGCTGGTGTCTCTGCCTTCTGAGCTACCTGGCCCTGCTGCTCTTAGTACCGCAGCCCCTGGGGATGAGTCGCACCCTGTGCCGCTGGTGGTCCACTCAACGTTACGACAAGCCGGAGATGAGTTTGCGCGGCGTTATCGCCGGGACTTTGCTCAGATGTCTGACCAGCTGCACCTGACTCCGTTCACTGCCAGGAGCCGTTTTGTGGCTGTTGTGGAAGAGCTGTTCCGAGACGGGGTCAACTGGGGAAGGATTGTGGCATTCTTTGAATTTGGTGGCATGCTGTGTGTGGAGAGCGTCAGTCGGGAGATGTCACCCCTGGTAGACAATATTGCTTTGTGGATGACCGAGTACCTGAATAGGCACCTGCACAACTGGATCCAAGACAATGGAGGCTGGGTATGTGGCTGGTTGTGTTGTCTGTATTTTATTCCCCTCACTGTTTCAAAATAATACTTTGCTGATATGTTTGCACTGGCATCAATTGTGGCCCTGTGCGGTTTGGTTTTCCTGATGTGGGTGTTATTGGGACAGTACAGTGACTCCAGTTCCATGCATAACTTTCCCTCATATCATTAATGTCTTCTACTAGGCACAGTAACTTAACAAGAGCTGTGTGTCTGAAGGAAGAGGATACACTGTACATAATCACTTTGCCAGTTCATGAAACTTTTGGATGAATGTTGGGTGCCGTGTTAAGGGTAACGTTGAAAGTGACATATTTGATCACTGATGCCACTGGTCAAATCTGTCTGGTCAGATAGCTGCCTTGAGCCCAGTGCTCAAGATACAGGGAGAACTCTCCACATTGTTTCAATCAACGTTTAATCACTAATGTCAATCCTAGGTTGTGTGAAACTGGCTGGTAAAAATGAGGTCACAGTGAAAGTGGGAGAGAGAATTAATGATGCAGCAGCTAATTTGTGGTGTGCTATAGAAGCAAAGGGACAAGTCTTCTGAAATTGGATTAGCAATTTATAATGTGGTAGACCGCTCATTGCTTGAACTTTAGCTATTTCAGCCTTCTTCTTGCCCAAATGGCTTTGAATGTCCTGTAAACTGCCCCTTTAGGCATAGTTGACAACACTTCCATTGTTTCAGAAATTTATGTTTGTGATGCTCTACTTATACTGTTTGGATAACCAGGGTTCTGTGTATGCTTTTGTACAAAGTACAAACACATTAAGCATGTGATTTTTGTATTGATGGCCAAACTTTTGTAAAGAAAAGAACAACGAGTATGTGTATGCATTAGGTATATGAATTGTTTATAGCAGTGGAGGTAATGAAACGTTCTTCATTTATTTTAAGAGACATAACATTGAAAGATTTTCTACAAATTTCTGGAGGGAAAATAAGAAATGAGCCCTGTGTAGGAAATGTGTAGAGCTATCTTCTTTGGCTAGTTCTTGGAAAGTGCATGACAGTTATTGTGACGTAGTTCTAAGAAAAGCTGAGTTCCATGTAGTGGAGGCAGGCAAGTACAGTATAAATGTTCAGAAAGGATTAATTTCACTGTACTCAGATCATGCTACCTTTTCCCATCTCTGTCTCTGCAATCTTATTTATTGAAAAAGGAATTTTGCACTTAACCGTTGTTATTTTGTTAAATGGAACATCTTATCTTACAATTTCATTATATTAAACCAGTGCTTCCCCAGTGATTGGGTTGGGATGCATTTGTAGGTGGGGGAGTCCCCATGAAGAAAACAATAATGTGGATGACAAAGTAGAAATATAAATACATGGGGAAAGAGGGAGTATACAGTATTTTGTGTTTAAGGATAGACTTACTTCAGTTATATCACCTCCCCTCTTCTTAAAAACATAGAGAATCCTCTTAAGAATAGAAGAGTTTAAATTAATGTTATGCCCCCAATTGAGTATACAGTACAGCATATGCACTAGGAATCTCTCCTGTTAAATTTATTTAGAAAACAAACCAGTTAAGTCACATAAAAACAGAGAAAGCTGAAACTAAAATGGTCCCAGTGACAACTTTTATTGGGCCAATTGTGTAAAGAGCAGCAAGTTTTCATATTAATCATACCAACCCTACCTTTGCCCCAGGTTATAACCAAGGGGGTAATACCATTTTGAATTCTTTCCTATTTTCTTTTGGACAGCATGAGCTCTTCAAATAACTATTGACAATATATGTGTCATCTTTGTTTATATAAGGCATAAAATAAATGTTGTGGTTATAATGGGGCTCCTATGGGGCTTCATGTCGCTTGTGGACCACGCTTTGCCCATCCAGATACAAGCAGTAAACTGTTAATATAATAATTAATAATTATGTGCTGTCAAGCAGCTTCTGAGTTATGGTGAGCCTCCCATACATAGTTTTATAGGTCGAAGTATGTGGAAGTGGTTTTTGAGTCTCTCCTTCTTGTGTCTGGGGCATAATCCCACCCTGGTTGAATTTGACCAGCCACCTCCTAGGAGGGGCAATGAGAGCTTTAACTCCCAACTCCTGGTGCTCCAATCCTCTGAGCTTTTTTGGTTCAGAACTACTACATACTTATAGCCTAATTCTAAGTCTAGCAGCTCCAGCAGGGCTCAGGATGAAACACATCCACAGCTGCTCTACCACAACTTCATAACGGAAGGTGTAGCCTTTAGAGATGTTATGTGGATTTGTAGGCTGAAAAAGCTAATGCAGGGTAAAAATATACATTGTCAGGAGACAGAACTTTCATTGCTCATTATTATGAATAATAATAGGTAAGTATAATGACTGGCAGTAACAGCTGCATGGCTTCTTGGTTCTGTATAGCCTTTCTTAGGTCTGCAAGTAATGACTGACAATCCTGACAGCTTTTTAGAAGCTGCACCGTGCTTGTCATACTGCAGCATCAAATGATGGCTTGTATGTGTGAGTAGGTTAATAGAGATACAACCTTCCTGTCTGCTCATACTGACTAACACACTTTTCTTCAAGTTTATACATTCAGCTGCCAATCTCCAAAAGTACAGTAATCAGATGGTGCACATGAACATCTGGACTGAGTCCTCATCTTCCCATTCTACTTTGCGCAATGCGAATCTCACACATTTCAGAATAGTGGCATCCTTTAAATTAAATATATTCATCTTTGTTATACATATCCTTCCTTAACTCTAAGCATAGGACTGTAGGCTTTCTCTTAATTCTTTCTTTTGCCCCAGATTACCGTGTTTCCCTGAAAATAACACAGGATCTTATATTAATTTTTGCTCCAAAAAACGCATTAGGGCTTATTTTCAGGGGATGTTTAATTTTTTTAATGTACAACAATCTACAGTACATTTATTCAAATACAGTCATGTCATCTTCTGGTTGCTATACAATGGCGGAGGGCTGGGTTTCACTTAACTGGGGCTTATTTTTGGGGTAGGGCTTATACGAGCATCCTGAAAAATCATACTAGGGCTTATTTTCAGGTTAGGGCTTATTTTCGGGAAAACAGGGTAGTTGCTGTTCATGCAGCAGAGGAAGGAGGAACACATAACTTGCTTTTTGGGTGGTGCAGGAGAACACAAATGATTTGCGTGCTAATTTAAAGTACCACAGTATTGCAAGTAAAATATTACTCTAGTGGAAACCTAACATGGTGGATTATCATTGTGAGGCATTAGTTGGAGACTTTCTTGCATTTAATTTTTCCCCCAGTCAGATTTATTTTAATTTTTAGTATTTCTACAACCACTACCACCTCTGGAGAAAGGCTTCCTTCAGAGGTGATGAAAGCAAACCAGCCTCTTATGAGTTAGGATTCTGACTTGGGGAGATATGGAATGTGGTTTACCTCTGGGCAAAGTTTATATTTTTCTTGGAAGTTGCATTATTTGACATGTCAAGAATAGAAGTGCCGAGTGGATCCCTTGTCAGTGGTGATGAGAATGTGGCTTTCTCACTTTTTAACTTGAGTGTTTGAGGCATTCTACAGAGAAACTGAACTTAAAAAACCAACACAGAAATGCACTGAAGCATAGACTAACAACTCATCATTTGGATTAATAGCCAGTAAGATGAAGAAAAGTTTTGTCCGCATGACATATTCTTTTAAAATATGTGTTAACTAGAAAGGTGTTCAAATGGTAGTTGACACAAGCTGGTGGAGTAATTCATCAAGGACGCAATCTTAAAGTACTTTTTAGTCCTGTTGAGTACACTGGGACTTGCATCTCAGTAAGATTGCTCCATGACTTATCTTTAAAATCTTGTTATTTTTGTTGGTTTCTATTATCAGTGTACACCCATCTTATTAATTCCCTCTGTTCTTGATGTTCAGGCTCAAGTGCTATCCCTTATGCAACCCCAACTGAAGGAAAAATGCAAGAAACAACAAGAAATCCCCTTCCAGATAGAAGATCCCCACAATAACTCAATGAATGAGTCTGTTCATTAGCCATGAAACACTATGCACCAGGGAGTGGAGGGGGAAGAAACACACACACACACACACATACGGACGTACGGACGTGGAATGGTATGGAATCCTGCATAGAAAACAACTCACACTGCAGTATTCTGTTGCAAATTTCACTTCTATGTGCAGCTGTTGATCTCAATTATTCATGTGCTTGGATAACTCTGTGAGGTAGGTTTCTGACTGCAGACCCAGAGCTTGGGAGTTTGATTCCCCACTGTGCCTCCAGAGAGAAGAGTCAGGTTTTGTAGCCTTGGGAAAGCTACACAGTCCCAGGTGCTCCCAGAAGAAGGGAATGGGAAACCACTTCTGAGTGTCCTTCATCTAGAAAACCCCACAAAAGGTCATCATAAGTCAGAATTGACTTGATGGCACCCTATGATGATGACACTATTCACATGCAAGAAGGAGACACTAGCAAAATCAGGGAAACTCTGAGGTCTGTAGACTCCACACACACACACACACACACTTTTCCCCCTTAAAATCTCCTTAGAAAAACCCTCAGAGATGGGAAATCCTCAGAATCGGCCAGTGTGAATACAGAATTCTGATTATAATGAGAGGAAAAAAAAGGAGAAGTCTGGGAGGAAAGTGAGATGAAGTAGCTGGAATGATAAACAGAAGCACAGCAGAGTGCAGTAAATTGTTGCAGGGCCATTTCATTTACCTGATTGTGTTGGGATTCTACAAGTTTGGTGGAGATGCTGATATTTTTAAAAAATTACAGATCCTTTGCTGTCCCCACAAGGTTCACCTGAGAAAAGAGCCTTATTGCAGTAATATGTTAAGATTTTAATATGCACATAATAATTCTCAGTTACCATGTGGAGATTCTTTTCCAGTCGTAATTCACAGTTGTGCTCCTGTTTCAGGCAGCATTCAGGAACTTGTTTGTGACTTTGGAAAGCTGGTTTGTGATAGGCACAGGCCAATGTTTTGTGTTCTGTGTGCAAAACTGGTAGTGCATTTCTTTGAGTGTAC